TGTCCTTGAGGGAAATTGTAATGGTAAAAGTAGCTGTTTCCTTGTAAGGAAACATTTTCCATTGACCGAGCAGCCAGTGCTACTCTCAGTTGAAATGTATAAAATATGCCACTGTGCCAAGGACACATGGCACAGTGGATAAAGGTGTTAGATAGATCCAGTGACAGGATCCAAAGAGTTGTGAGTTCGATACCTGATTGAGGCAGCGGAGAACTTGGAGAGGGAATTAACAGGAGGTAACTGATAACTGACACCCATTAGACATGGCACGTGGAACTAGATCTGTCTACCCCATGCGCGAAATAAAGTGTTCAGTTCGTCATTCCAACCACCTGAAGAAGGCCGGAGCGTACAACGGCCGAAACGTTCTAATAAATATGGCGAAAAAGATGAGGACAATAGTCCGAATAATGTAAATAATGTATAATATTTCTTTTAAAAACAGTTTGTTTTTAGGAAAATAAGCTTTTCAAATGCATTTTTATTGCTCTTTGCATTATTAACCGATGATTCATTCCTAAACAGTGTTAAACGTCAACATCTTGACTATGCCATTATTTTCCAGTTTCATGTGATATCCATTTTGTTGAATGTCCTCAAGTGATGTGGTATCTCTTACTTACTACAGTTCGTTGTTTATGATTCTGTAGCGCCAGTCCACGAGGTTCGAAGAAGGATGTTTATCGCCAAGACCTACAGATTTCATTCACTGTCAATGAAGGAAGAAAGAATCAGAAAAAAAAGAAGAAAAACATTATTAAGGACCACGAACAATAGAAGAAGAGTAATCAGGAACACTGTAGATTACGATTGACACAGCATTTAAATTTCTAAAGATAAACCTTAACTTGAAAGCATAGAGTGGAAGAGATCCTCACAAAGGAGAAGTAAAGAAAAGAAACTGTTCGCATATAACTTAGCGTTACATCTTAGGCAGCTCAACTGTAAATTGATGAGACCTTGTTGCTAATCTAGTACTGCTCTTAAATTCTTGAAGTCTAGGTACCATAGCGTAGATTTTATCAGAAACATGAAAGTAATTATAAGAAAAGGCACAGGGAAGCTACATTATGGTGGTGGGAAAGTGATTGAAGCCGAAGCACTAGGTGAGGAATACTAATATTACTAATTCGTCTTTGGATTTTATGAGGAATCTTTAAATATACAGCAGGAGTACTGGGCCATATGCAGCAGAGAAAAAATAGTGTAGCACAACACAGTGAACCAACTTTCTTTGCAGACAATTTAGCAATGGATTTAATATCTTTGCATTTCATGTCAATCAAAAATGTTAGCTTGAGAAGGTGCAACAAGTCATTGTCATGGAGGTTAGCATCAGCCATGCTGATGGGAGGCAGGAAGGGGTCTCCCAAGTGATTAATAGAGAGAAGTTTCGGTTTGGAAGCGTTAAAATTAACGTACCATTCTTTGCAACCATTGACAATAGACTGTAATTAATTTTTTAAAACAGCCGTTAATTTGACCTAACTGATCAGACTTACTATGGAAACAGGAGTAAATGGTTTTATCCCTAGCACAGATACTAAGTTAAGAACTGAAGTCATCAAGAATTTCATTGACGAATATTCAGAACAAAGTAGGCCCAAGGAAAAAGCCCTGGGGGGACACCTGCATTAATACAAAAAGATCTAAAAAAGAGTCCGTTCAGGTCAGCTTACATTTCGCGATATAAGAAAAAATGAATCAATTATAAAATTCGTCCGGAAATATCATAAATGGTATGCCAAACTCAAATGTCAAATGCCAACAGCCAGTTTATCTTACGCTTGATAAACTCTTTCACCAATAATCTTTAATACATGAGCAGTTGACTTAGAAAAACAAAATGCTGATAGGCCAAGAGTTTGAAGTTTCAGACGGTTCACCCGAGTTTTTAAATACCGGAACAAGAGAAGAGAATTTCCAACAAGCAGGAAAGTAAAAAGGCAGCGAGACATTTATCGTACAGTTTAAAGAGAAATGGAGGCAATTCGGGAGCTCATTTCTTAAGGCCTATTACAGAGATACCATCAGGTCTACAGGAGTTGTCAGGATCCAGATTAGAGATGATAGCAGAAAACATGGAAGGAGCTATTACCCAATAAAAACTCAGCTCTAAGTGGAAAATCAGGCAAAGACTTAAAATAAAGGAAAAAGAAAAATTCCAGGAAAAAATAAATCCTAAGAAAAGCAAAAGGAGGAACTGTATTAAAGAAATGCAAATAAAACGATTTAGAAAGTGTAAATAAAGAAAAAGAGAAATTTGAAAAAACAAATATTGTGTTGGCCCAATCTTCTTGCATTGGAAGTGAACAATCCAAGTGCTAGCATTTAATGAATCCAGATAGACAAACATATCGGTTCTACCAGATAGCAAGACAATTTTGTGAACAATGATTCAGTCGATCGAATATATATTGATCTAAATTGTTCAGCTGATTTTTTGCATTGTATTTTATAACGTTTATTGTATTGTAAGAGTTGGTTATCATTGCTTGCTTGGTTTAGCCATGTGAAGTCACATGAGTATAAGCTTTTAAGCGAATATTCAATATCAGGTTAGATTTTCTCTGTCCGTTGTCCATGTCGAGAGATATCGTTTTAGAACTGCTCTGTTATTGCTCGACCTGTTTCCATTGTGTCTCAGTCTGTACTAATCCTGCCAACTGACTGAACTCACAATTTGCCACCAATTTCACGAACTAATGATTTAATCTACATTGTGGGTTCAATCCTTGGGTCGTGTAGTACAGACTCAATGGAAACATAGCGAGCAATTACTAGGCAGCACTAAAACAACAAGTTGGGTTATCACTAGAAATGGGAAGCGGATCAAGAACAATCTACTTCTATAGATTAAATAAAGGGTTCGATACAAAATTCCCAGATGTCCTCGAATGTACAGTCACCTGTAGAAAGACACAATTGCCGAATGTTCGTGATAATAACAATGAAAACGATAATTCGAATGAAAATAATTGGCGCTCCTTATGCCAGAAAGTTAGGCTCAATATAAGAAAATAGTGAAATTTACCCACAAATTATCTTGTAACCAATATAGCTATCGAATGCCTTCAAAAGAAATTATCTCCTTCCAATTTTATACGCAAACTGCGTGTTAACTTTTAGATTAAACAGCTGAGTGCAAACTCGCCTACGAGCGGGCCGTGCGCGATCCTGCAGAGCAACTAACTGCTTTCTGTAATACAAACGAAATAGTTGTGTGATGTCTTGTAGATCCGAGGGCAATGCTGCAGATGGATTAGATGAATTAATTGTCTGCTATCTTATACACACGCTAGCCATGGAATATCGAAGCGAAGTCCTGGGTATGACGATATACTATATCCGGCAGCAAGAGATAGGAGGTTTTGAGGAGGATGTCTAACCACTTCTTTATTGCTGGTATTCCCAGGTCCCCCCTCAACCGTAGTTGAGGTAGCATCTGTTATGGTCCCAGCTATAGGCAAATAGTGAACACTCAAAGACAAAACACTATGAAAGCATAAAATATGTTTTTTTATAGTAAAAATGCTAGCAATACATTTTTGTATAAAAAAAATTACTAAAACTTATAGTAAAATTACCGACAAAATATTTTATAGCAAAATGTCCAATACATTTTAATTGAAGGTATACAATTGGGTTCAAAATATATTTAGTTGAATCCATAGAATTGAGTTCAAAATATTTAGTGAATAATTAATAAGCCATAGAGGATATGTAGTTAAACAAAATCAACCAATCAACATATCGAGTCGAACAAGTTGAATGCTCTCTATTATACGAAATAGATGATTGCAATCGTATAATGATACTTACTGTTTGCTATCTTAGAGAGGATTTGTGTGCTATCGGGATGGCTTGTGTTATCATGAAGAATAGCTTTATGAATGTTATCTTCTTGACGAACTAACAGAGTGCAATCTTTTAGACGAACTTGATATCTGCTCTCTTCTAAAGGAATCAGCAGTCTGCTTAACTTAATATACTAACAAATTAAGAGCAGGTTGCCCTGAAGCATCCGATGTATCATATCCTGATTTCACTTGGTAAAAAGAAAGGCCAATTCTGATGCACTGCTTACGTTTCCTGCATCTAATCACCGAACAGTTTCTATCCTTTCATTGACGTTTGAGCCTTTACATTTTCATGGCAGAGATGCTTTCTTTTTTCTTTCTCTTTTTTTAAATCATTTCACCCCAAGCATGGCGGGAATGCCACTAGTACGCAAGAGGTTACAGAGAGTGAAAATGAAAAGAAAAGACTGAGTATAGGGAGGATTGAGGAAAGAATAAAAGATGAACGAGATTCAAAAAGACTGAAGATGACGATTAACGTTGCCTTTATATTTTTGAAGATTGTATTTATCAGGGAAGCAAGTAAGCGGATGGGAGTTCCAATGTTAGGAAGTGCGAGAGGAGAACCGTTGGAGTAGAAATGGCTGTTGTATTTCAGTAAAAGGGTGGTGCCTTAGATGTCAATCTAATAGCACGCTTAAATTCATAAAGGTCACCAGGGGAAAAAAAAAGATTGTCAGAGCAGTTGACATGAAAGACCGAACATTTGAGCAACGACGAAGTTTCAGAGAAAATAAAAACAAAAATTATGCTTATACTTAACATTAGGAAGAGACAGATGTAATTTCTAAGGCATTCTAAGATACTGGGAAAGAAAGCTTAGAAAATCTGATACTCACAGGACTGATAAAAGGCAAGAGAAATAGAGGAAAACATATCCTACCTATCAAGCTTAAGTAAATGGATGGCGGAGAAATGTTTAGGAGAGATAAAAAAAGACAAAATTTATTTAGACAGGAAATTGTGGAGAGCCATGATCGCCTACGCTCTGAAGGGCTACGGTACATAGTAGAATAATACCAATTGAGTTGGGTCCTCATTGTATCCAACTCACTAGTCAATATTAATAGTCAACCAGATTAGTTTGTTAACCGTTACTACAACACAAGGCTTCGTACTCACCTTGTTGACATAATTGGAATGTTACACACTACCAGAGCTGCTGCTGCTACTAGCGATCCAATCCCCTTTTCTTTTTGGTCGCCTACTAATAAAGATTTCATTGAAATATATCTTTACTTCTCACATTAATGCGTAAAATCCACCGATGACAATGACCTCGTTCTATATTTCATTTCAAAAGTTCTCTTCTTTTATTTTTGATTATTTTCTTTTCTGTTTTTCTTTCGTTGTTTATTTCTCTTTGCTTTCTTTATGAATTCTTTTTTGTTTGCTTGCTTTATGTTTCCATTACATTTTAACCACACATTAACCTAGACATTTATCAATCACAGCTTAAACTATTTTCGTTTTTCTTTCCGTATCGTTTTTATTCACTCAGCCTTTCTTCGTCCGAAAATTGTTCCAAACATCATCTTTCCTTTTTACTACATTTTTGCCAAGATGCTTTTAGTTTTTTTTTCTCTTAGTTTTCCTACAATAAATTCTTTTCCCTTGTTTATTCATTTCCTTTCTTTGCCAAATCCCATCTTTCCATCCAGTTCACTTTTCTTGACTTAACTTTTCCTTTCACTCGTTTTTTGATATGAAGATTTTCTTTATTTTTAATTGTTTTTACCTTTTTTCTTTATTTTGATTCCTTCGTTCTTAATGTCATTTGTTGTGATTTCCTCTTTCGCCACAGAGTCTGTGAATGGTGTTGCCCTCAAGCGACAGAAATAGCAATGATAAGGCATAAACAAAAAAAAGAAAAGAGTAATATATCTATAAAGGGAGGAGTGTTTATCTAGTTTAATGCTCAAAAGTTGACCACGTAAATTTTGTCATCTATTCAGTTGTGTAGCATGAAAAGAAAAGCTGTAAAGTAATAAAAACAGGAAACAAAAACTTTTTAAATGCTTAACAGGATGCTGTTAATTGGAAACAGATAACAATTTGACGAAAAGCGCAAAATGCACTCGATTTACAACAGAACCTTATTTGTAAGGAACAAACTTTTTAAGTCGAGAATCGTATTCTCCTAATATGAGTGCTCTGGATATAAGATGGATGCTCCAAAAATGATAGCTATTATTAAACTATCATGGTCATCGATCTCAGAAGCTGATATCAGTATTATTTATAAAAAGAATACCCGCTCGGCCCGGTGGCTAGGATCAGAGTGTAGTATCTGCGCTTTGTTAGCTGCCGGGTCGGGTGTCTGTAGAACTCTCTGCTTGCAGAGGGGAACTCGGACGAAGCTCCGCCGAAGGGTGGGGTTTCGTTGGGGGAGGTTGACGGAACTAGCCCGCTTGGACGGGTTTAGATGGGTTTTATTTTTGGCTGGGCCTACGGGCTCAGACATACCCACGTTAAAAAGGCCTTGTGCCACATTCGCTCCCCGTGGGTGGATTGATAAACACCATCAGTATTATAGCAGCAGGAGTTGAACCTACCATCAGTAACCCATAAATGATAAGCAAAGATGAAGTACAGGTGTGTCAATGAATTTCTCCATGAGTAAAAAAATATGCACCAATTGACATTCATCGGTACTTAAAAAACGTTTATGGCGATCAAACAATGGATGTGATCATAGTGAGTTTGCAGTTCGTTTCGGTAATGGCGACAGTGGTAGGTGTGACAATTCACATTCCGGATAGCTCTACACCTATACTGGTCCATGAAATATGTCGCCTCGAAAATTATAGCCATAGCTGATAATGTAGCTGAAAGGAAATGCAACCAATGGCTACTGATAACGGTGCATGTCCCGTCGATGAAAGAGACGACGTTTAATGTGCTGCCTCTGCAGAAAGAGACAGAACATGGAGGCTATGCCAGAACAGAGGCAGTGTGAACTCCGTAATGTCCGCTTATGAAAAAAGAAAGTGTCAATCAACTTCCCAATGAGATAATCGGTACGGTGAATTGAGCGGTGAATTGAGCGGTGAATTGAGCGGTGTTTGCTATGCAAATGATTCTTTTGTTATCCAACGGTTAAAGTTTTAGGCTCCATAAAAGTAGACACATTGTCTGACAGCGCATCGTGTCGACCGTACAGTGAGATTGCCGAACGCTACCAAGGATTTCTGTTCGTATTACGCTGTCTTGTTTCAAATTCGTTCGTCCTCGTTTGTGCGTCCGGTGTTTCAATTGCGTTCGTTCCATACGCAGAGTGTTCCCGTGTAGATGTTCGTGCCCTGCTCGTCATGATCCAGTGATTGATTCCGGTGTTTTCCGTCCCTCTTCGTTGGTATATAACCAACCAATAAGAAGAAAATCGCATCAGTTGATCATTTAGAAAAAATAGTGTCTAGGAGATGAAAACTTGCTCTATCCAGTGGTGTTAGTACGCTTCCTGTATGTTTTGATTGCTGTGGAAATAAATTAATTTTAGAGTGTCGATTCGATATTACAGATTTGCTTTCTTGGTCATTCACTAAAATCGAGAGAAATGTATCAGTTCCATTTAGTATTGGATGACATTTAGCACGAAATCATTGCCATTATATATATATATATATATATATATATATATATATATATATATATATATATATATATTTATAGTAACAAAATGTGTTAAATGAAAGAAAGGAGATGAAAGTAGTTTTATCTAAAGCTATTAATATGACAATCATCATGCTGTATTACTGAAAGTCAAATGATATCTCGTCTTTTGATAAAAGTCCATCAAAAGGATTGGCGTTATCAAGATGAATGAAATTGGCAGGATATTCTGCCTTGTAAGAATTCAGAAAAAAAAAATCAAAAATAATATTTCATCTCTGAGATTTAAGCTAAAATTTACGCTCCATATATTAAGAAGTTCTCAGTCCAAGCTATCTTCAAAATGCTCAAACTTTTTGGAAGTGATTTGGGCCAATAACTTTTTCAGTACTCTTTCTACATCGCATCGATAAAGAAAAATGGTGTGATGGATAACGAATTGGCATAAGAAATCAGAGAGCCGAGTTCAAATTCCATTTGGGTTCATTACATTGATTTACGAACAAAATACACAGTGCGATGGGTAAGTTGTCGACATTCTTAATTTCGCGCATGTGCGTTGTTTGTTTTTGATTTTGTCGACTGCACAGAATCGTAGGGTCAGTTGGGCACCGTCTGTGAGAAAAAGAGCAGCAGGATGCAGTCCACTGCGCCAGCAAATTGGAAACGGCATGTTTTACTGCTTAGTATTCTTGCCGGAAGCTTCGATACGAACATTTCAGAGTGTTTAGGGCGTTAATCTGGAGACAACGCCGAGGATTCGGAAAGATTTGGGTGAATCTAATGGCGATTACGAAGGAGTTTGGAGTGATCACTAGAGATTAAGGCGTTATGCCTCTATTCAACTTCCCACATGTACTCAGACTTAACACGGAGGCCTACATTAAATGAGGAGATAGTGCTGCCCTGGGTCAAGATGGTGGCTGTTGGAAGTCTCTCTGTCTGGCAATAGGTATCTGCACCATGCAACACAAGCAGGAGATCCCAGTCATGGCTGTCAGACAGTTTCTGTGACATCACCCCATACATGTGACCACTTAACTCCTCAGACTGCTACGCCCTTGATTATTAGGTGCTGGACACAGTTGAACAAAAAAAAACCAACAAAACTCCATGTGGTACCAATGATGAACAGAAGGCAAAAATTATGGCAGCATTCTTAAACAAGGAAACTGTCAGAAAACTTACAGGATATTCCGAAATCGTCTGGAAGCTGTGGATGAAGCCAATGAGGAAACTTATTATTTACTCTTTATTACTTTAAGATATTTTTGCGTAATTTTGGTAAATATATTTGTTAAAATGAGATGCCAATGTCATTTTCATTTTTGCGTAATTGAGACGACAGTTTATCCATCGCACACTGTACACTTGGGAAATGTATGATCTCTCAATCTCTTCTCCCCCAGCTACGGGTTGAATAGCAAGACAGTTGTGTCCTATAGCCTTGGTTGTCAACCAGTCTACCGCAGAAAGAAATGGAAGCCTACTGCCTAATCAGTTAATCGAAAGAAACATGATCCCCCACGCGTGTATCACGTATGACACTTAATTGACTGACTGGGTGGAATTTGCATTTTATTCTTTAAATTATTCTCCATATAAAGGTTACTCTTGTTTTAGCTGCCTGCTCATCAGCTGGAATAAGATATATTTCTTAGACAATTCCTAAAATTGGAAAATGTTATTTTTCCAACGCAATCAGTGAAATATCCGAACTGACTCAATGAAAAACGACATAGTTCCTAAAATCTTTCAGTTTTGAATCCAAAATTCAGCTCCTTCTATTCATTTAGCGCATTTTGCGCCGCTATGGTTACCACCCCCTCCCATCTCTATTTAATTGTGGTTCATGGTGTCATTCAAGGTAAAATAGTGCAATGATTTTCCGGTCACCTTTGCCCCGTTGAGGTTGAGGTTAACCTGTACCTCCTCTCAGAAGCCCCTCCGTACACTGGTAAAAGCGTTGATCTTTGGGGTACACCTCCTACGCTCAGGCTGGCGATTGGCCGATGTCTGCGAATCCAACATAGCGAGAGATTATTTTAACTGTAAAGTTACTTTTACAATACATACCTAGCGTGTAATCTTAGGGATATTTCCTTATAATGGTGCCCCAAAAAAAAAAAATGAAATTATAGAATTATTCTATGATGAAAAAAATTAACTACATATTTTACTATATGAATGAACTAAAAAAAATTACTAACATATGAATTTTTTTAACCCTTTGTTGTTCCAAGATGTCGCAGTTATCAAATTTTCAACACGAACTGATTGTTCTCTTTAAGAAAAAACATCCAAGATGGGGATTGAAATAATGTCAAGAAATTTTGCCAGAGTTCTTTAATTTGAAATCCACATCTAGCATTTGCGTTTTTATTCTGTTTTAAGCTATTAGATTTCTATCCTTTGCTTTTATTTCAAATAACTGTAATAAAAATTCCAACAATTAAATAAAATTTACCAAATTTTCTGGTTTATTGTAGGGTACCTTGAATTTTCAAATGACATCCGTTAAATAATCCGCCATCTTTCGTGTTCAGAATCATAATTTTAATAACAACATTAATTTTAACATGTTTGAAGGTACTTCTAAAATATTGCCAAGACTAATATGTCTCCTAAAATGATAAACTGAAAAGCAAGCATTTCTTTTTCAAAGTTTATATTAATTTCCAGAAAATATACACTGATTCATGAAATCATACATCAACAGGTTTTTGGTGAAGGTGGGATTGATAGTAATTGCCGTTTATCAAAGAATTACATAGGACATAGATGTGTATGACATGCAAAAGATATTCCATAATATTAGACAATTGTGCATTTTACAATTTGAGCTGTGATGCTCAAATGATTATGGCTATGATCAAACTCCTACTCCTGTTTTCAATTTAAAAATGCAAGTAGTATAATTTGATAATTGTAACGATAGCGTTAACAAATTATGGATGGATCCATTTGCCTCTTCTATTCATGTTAAAAAGCGTTTAATTTTCTATCATACAAACAGATGTTATTTCAAAGAAAAATATAAGATTATGAATTAAATTTATTTATTCGTACTTATTTAGGTTCGA